CGGGTTAACTTCAGCTTGCTGCCCAAGGAACTGAGTTTTAAAATTGATTGTAGCTCCGCCTCTTGGTTGCCTCAGTTTCAGTTTCAAAAAACGAAGAAAATCCAATAGTCCATAACTCGAACTAGTCCAAGTCCAAGACCAAGACACAGGTAAAACACACCTCGTGGCCCCACCTCAAGGGTGGATTTGGACACTCCACAGTGCCTAGAGAATGACCATTCAGGTAAGCCAACGGTCTTTCTCCTAGGCGCTGCTTGGAGTGTGCAAGCACGGGACATGCCAAAGCTATGTCAAAGTCAGGAGGGAAGAAGAACTGTCCGGGGCTGCAGTGCTCGCAACGACTCTCTGCAAAACTCTCCTCCCAAATGACACCTCAGCAGAGGTGAACGTGTCAAACTGGCCTGAGTCTCATAAGCCATTTTGATACTCGCTCTGAGCCAGCGTCCTATGGTAGAGGACGTGACCTTCTTTCCCATGGAAGCAGGTTGGAATGAGACAAATAACGCTTCTGACTTACGAAAGGGAGTGGTCCGCTTCATGTAAATGCATACCGCCTGCTGAACGTCCAACTTGTGCCATGTTACCTCTCTCTGGTGCCTGGGACGAGGACAGAAGTCCAGAAGTATCACCTCCTGCGCTCTGTGGAAAATGGTGTTGATCTTTGGGACAGAAGCAGGATCCAACTGTAAGATGACTCTATCGGAGTGGAAGATGCATAGGTCGCCTCTAACCGACAAGGCGGCCATTCCGATATCCTGGTTGCCGAGGTGATGGCAACCAGAAAGGCAGTTTTTAAGGTCAGGTGGCACAAGCCCACCATCCATAACGGCTCAAAGGGGCGCGCGGCAAGCACCTGCAGTACAACAGTCAAGTCCCAGGTAGGGTACCTGTCGATAGGGGGCAGACAGATGTTGGAAGCTCCGAACCTGGGGATGTCTAGAAAGTGGTAACTGAGAGTCAGTGGACAGTATGGTGCCCAAGGCAGCCACCTGTCGATGGAGAGTGTTGGGCATGAGGCCCTTGTCCAAACCGTCCTGCAGAAATTCCAAGACTTGTGGGATGGTCACAGACGAAGCACTTATCTGACAGTTGAGGCACCAACGTGAGAAGGCCGGCCAGGTTGCTTCATAAATTCTGATGGTGGAAGATCGCCTAGATGCTTGAATAGTCTGGATGACACTGTCAGAAAAACAGTGAAGTCTCAGGAGGTCCCCCTCAAGTGCCAGACAGCCAACTGAAGCCACTGGGGTTCCGGGTATTGAACGGCCCCCTGGCTGAGGGAGATTTGCTCCTGATGTATGCGTCACAGCCGGGATACCGACAAGCTGACCAGGTCGGCGAACCAAGTCCTCCTTGGCCAGTGTGGAGCTACTAGCAACACCTCCGCCCCCTCCTCTAGGATCTTTCGTATGACCTGTGGAATCAGAGGAAGAGGAGGGAAGGCATACAGTCGACCTGGAGGCCAGCGAGATCATAGAGCGCCTGTGCCCTCCGCCCCGGGGGAGGTATGTGTTGGTTGGCGAGGCGAACAGGTCGACCACCGGGTGGCTGAACCTCCGGGACAGCTGGCAGAACAGACTCGGGTGCAGCCGCCATTCCGAGTTCTGGATGGTGGTTGTGCTTAGCCAGTCCGCCGTTACGTTGTCTAGGCCGAGATGTGGTCTGCCCGAATTGAGGCCAGTGCCTCTCCACCCAGTGACCCAGAACTTCCGCTTCTGACGTCAGAGCCAGGGACCGCATGCTGTCCTGATGGTTGATGTAAGCTTTGGTGGCTATGTTGTCGGTCAGGATCAGTACATCGTGGCCCCTGACCCGATCGAGGAAATGGCGCAGAGCTAGTCTGGCCGCCCGAAGCTCTAGCCAATTGATGTTGTGGGCGAGTTCCGCCTGTGACCACTTGCCCTGGACCACCAAAGTCCCTAGGTGACCCCCCCAGCCGAAGAGACTGGTGTCTGTAGTTATTATCAGGTGCTCCAGTTCCCTGAAGCCTTTGAGGAGGGCCTCTGACAGCCACCACCTGAGGGAGTGGAGGAACTTTGGGGGGACTCGTATCACCCGGCTGGAGTTGCTGGCCTTTCGTCTCTGGAGAGGGAGCAGGAACCACTGCAGTTCTCACGTATGCCCACAGGACCACTGACATGCACGACACCAGCTTCCCCATCAGCTGAGAGAGGGAGACGATCAATGCTGACCCGGTCGAGCGGATGTTCCTCACCAGAGTCCAGATGCTGTCCACCCTCTCCTGTGTGAGGAAGACTTGGCAGGTCTCGGAGTCGATGATTGTTCCGAGGTGCTTGATTCTGCAGGTCGGGATCAGGTGACTTTTGGCGAGGTTGACTGAGAACCCGTGGAG